TTCGATTCAACAAGGATGCATTAAATTGATCAAAGTGACAGTAAAAACATGTTATTACAAAATATTTCTATTTTCCCTTTATTAATTAATAGGAATTAATACTTCGATTCAACAAGGATGCATTAAATTTATCAAAGTGACAGTAAAAACATGTTATTACAAAATATTTCTATTTTAAACAAACTGTGTTCTTTTGAACCTTCTATTCATCAAAGAATCCTGAAAAAAAGAATGTGTCACGGTTTACACAAACGTATTAAGTTTGTTTTAAATTTTAAAACAACTGTTTAATTTTAAGGCTGTTTTAAACATTAATAATAAAAAGAAATGTTTCTTGAGCACCAAATCAGCATATTAAAATGACTTCTGAAGGATCATGTGACACTGAAGACTGGAATAATGGCTGCTGGAAAAATTCGGCTTTACATCACAGGAATTGATTGCATTAAAAATATATATTAAAACAGAAACACATTTTTTAAAACTGTAATAATATTTAACAATATTACTGTCTTTATTGTATTCATGATCAAATAAATGCAGCCTTGATGAGCATAAGAGACTTTTTTCAAAAACAATAAAATCTTACCAACCACAACCTTTATTGTGTTGAGACTGGACAGTTAAAGCAACAAGAATTTGAAAATCATTTAATTATTTAAATATTTGTTAAATTATTTTTAACCATGTCCCAATAATTGGTCACTTCTGTACGTGTTCTGAAAGATCCCATTTTTGTTTTATTTTGGAACCTTTAAGAACATTCCCATTATGATCCTTTTGGAATGGTTTAAAATTTGTTTCCAGAAATTCTGATGTTTTTTTGTTTTTTTTAATTAAGGTATTATGGGAAAAGCTAAAAATCCATGAAAACATTTTTCAAGAGAGACATTTACCTGTTCATCAGTGGGTGGAGGGGTCAATAGACTGATCACCACCACAACAATAGCAGTGAGGGCGCAGAGTATGATGGCAAAGTGCAGGTAGTGGACACTCCTTAGGACAGAGGGAGCAGGGTCAAAAACACCGCAGCGGGGTGGAGGGAATGCAAACTCTAGAACCATCCGTGTCAATCCCACCACTAGACCAACCATCAGGCCCCAAAAGGCTCCCTGCGTACACAATACCAAACAAACACACGTGAGGAAGACTCTTCCAGAAACCTCTTATGGAAACAGTTTATGAATTTGGCAGACACTTTTATCCAAAGCGACTTACATTGCATTCAAGGTACACGTTTTATCAGTTTATCAGGAATCGAACAAATGACCTTGGTGTTGCTAATACCATGCTCTACTGTTTGATCTCCAGAAAGACTTTGCATTCTCTGTTGCTCTACATACCAGCGGTGATGTTGCATTTACTCAGTGTGCTATATGAGCTTGAGAGACTGTTAAACGAATTACTTATTTTTAAACACTTCATTCATTTCAGGTATCTTGAGAGGATGCACTGAATGAACTCTGAGCTGAGATTCCTGAGCTGACAGGCTCTTATTTGCTTTTTCAGTGTACTTAAGGGTGGAGTAAGGTGTGAAGGTGTCCCTTGACAAGCACAGCAATTCCTGTGAAGTATCACATATTTGTCAGTCATATTTCAGTGATATTTATCCAGGTGTTTTGCCAAACAAGTGTTGCGACAGACAGCAGATTTGATCTATTATGTAAGTTAAACTGATTTTATTCTTGTACATTTTGTGTCACTGACTCACACTGATGCGCTTACACAAATACGCTCACTGTAACGACCCTATGAATGTCACCTGGCCAGTTTTCGTTTCTTTAGGCAAGCTACTTATCTGAGATCTTAGTAGCTAAAATGGGTATTTCCTATTTGCTGTGGGGCATGGAGGATCACTTTCCACTAAATGACCCTGAAGGGTAAAAACTAACAGGAATTTTCAAATCCCACCCTCTCAGTTTTAAAGTCCTTAAATGTTTTGTTCAACAGGTTTTCATTCTTTTGTTAAACTGCCCGGTTAAAGCAGCACTATGTAACTTTTTCTGTGTTCAAAATTTGCAAAATGTAGATAATGAGCGAGTACATCATGAATTCATCTTCCAAACCGCGTTTTTGTCTTATTCCGAATCACTACGGTACACTTATAATAAGAACTTATATTTGGACTATTGTAGCCTGGTCGGGTCGTCACCGCTGCGGAGTAACACATAACTGCGTGAATCGCCATAGACATAAACTTAGAGAAGTAGCTCTGGTTGGAATGTTCTTCCGCGGGGTGTGTGCAGTTTTGTTTATTAACCGCTAGAGCGCCAAAAGTTACATAGTGCTGCTTTAACAGCTATTCTTTTGCTAAGTTATAGACAATGTGATCAGATATGTTGGTGGATACGGTAGCTCTAATGCAGTCAAAACTGCAGTTTTGTAAAACAAAAACATCCAGTAAAACATAAGATAATCAGCCTGGTACACCGCAATCCTTCTAAAACATTCATTCTACTCATATTTGTCAAAGCACATCGGGTTTGGAGGGTTTTTCACAGAATCAAATGAGTGAATCACAAGGTCTTTTTTTTCTTGTTCTGTATTTTATGCACTCTCACACAATGTTACTCTTGTTCTAAGAATCTAAACCCCGTTTATTCCCAGCAAATATCTCAAGGAAACAGATCTATCTTTTATCCATCCGTCCATCCTTCTATACATAATATTTTATGAATCTATTTAAATTTTCTTTCCACTATAACATTATTGTACTAATAAACAGAATAGAACACCACTGTCACACTCAACTGGAAAGTTGTACTGAATGTACAAATAAAATGCAGCTTACACACGGGTGTGACTTATCAATTTTTTTTTTTTTTTCATTTTCAAAAACACAATTTATAATGACTCAACAACACAACAATATAATGACTTATATTAAGGTGTGACCTATTTTCTGTAAAATACAGGTATCTATCTTCTCAATCACTTAGTGAAAGTTACATTCTCTTTTGCTGTCATTCAGACAAGTACACACTCTTTGTGTGTTTAAACAGGCAAATACACACGCCCTCACTAATCTGCTACAAATAAAATAGCAAGACATTCCTTCTTCACGAGAGAGCAGAGGTTTCTTCGAATGCATGTGACTGTTAATGCTGGTATGTCAATATGTGCTTAGTCTAAGTGAGGCCTCAGACAGAGTTTGTTTGTTGTATGCATGCGTTTGTGTGTGCATTACCGCCTCATTGGTTCTTTTCCAGAAAACAGCCATTACAAAAATGGCAGTAACAGGAGGGGCCAGATAGCTGGTTACTGACTGGATGTAAACATACAGCTGACCGCTGTTAGCGCTCTGAAGAATTGGGATCCAAACCACACTAATCACCACCAAAATAACGGTCACTATCCTGGGAAAACAAATCAACATGGATTTTATGATCATCTTCACTTTCAACCACAGTTCTTAATATGGAAAATGAAAGTCAATATGTTAATAAAGTTAAGTTCTACTACGAAATCTATCCTGGAACCCATTAGCTGGTCTTCTTCCATTGTCTAGTTATATAAAGAATTTGTGTTTTTTTTATTTCCATTTAAATTTATCTCAACCCAATGACAGGACATAAATATGAGCTAATCTAAATGATTAATCCACCCCAATATGTCTAGCTCATACTGCGGTTGTGCATTGCATTTCTGAGGCTATAAATCATTCTTACATTCCTTCATGTAACTGCTTTTGCATAAAAAACACCATGACGTTGGATCTTAGACAACATGTAACCTTTATGCATGTCATAATGATTGATGATTTCAAATAGGCAACAGTTTCGTGCAAGAAATGCAAACAAACACAGTCATAAACACCTGCCAACCAGCAGCAGCTCCTTCTCGCTAGCACCTCTTCTATACTTCTTCCAGATGTCCATGGTGAAGAGGGTGCTACTGCTGTTAAAGATGGAGGTCAGTGATGACATTAAAGCGGCCATCATTACAGCTATCATTAACCCCCTGAGGCCTGGAACACACATGGACAATTGCATGATTTACACTAAAAAGACCACGACATGGACTATAAAAACATAAAGTACATGTTAACAATTCAAACATATACACAATTAAAAAAAAAGTGATCCTGATTACCGTTGGGCATGAGCTCAATGACCAGTTTTGGAAAAGCAATGTTGGAACAGCCCACCTCTGCACCACACACCTTTACACACTCTTCAGGGTCCACACAAGCCACTGCATCTGGAGGAAAAAAAAAGAAAAAAAAAAGATGATGATGCAAAGATGTTGAATTTTTATTTGTATTTTTTTTGAAACAGTGGGAACCTGCTATTTATTGAAACCAATTTGAATGAATCTTCAAAAACATCTGTATTTAAAATAATTGTGACAACCTAAGTCAGGGTTTCCCAAACTGTGGTTTGTGAACCCCTGAGGGTTCGTGAGGGAACTTCAGGGGGTTTGTGAATAAATAAAAAGCTAATAATTATTTAAATAACAAAATATGGAATTAAAATAAATCATTTTAAAATAAACAATTATTTAAAAAAAAACAAAGCAAATATTTTTTTTTCTTGTTTACATTCATTTCATGTGGCCATTAACTATCATCAGAAAACTGTGAACATACAAGCTTACTGTTAAATTTTTTGAAATATTAACTGAAAATAAATCTCAGGGGCTACATCAAGTAATTACGTTAGGTCAAAGGGATTCAGATGCTATCTATCTATCTATCTATCTATCTGTCTATCTATCTATCCATATACATATACATATGTAACGTCTATATACATATGTAATACGTAAAAAATAAAATAAAATAATTGAAAGAAAGTTCTTGTGGCAGCTTCCATGTGCAATTTATGTGTCTGCCTACAACCACTACTTTTACTGCTACGAATTCAAGAGGGGAAATCTCTTTCTGTCTCTTTCACTTTCTTCAGTTTCTTGTTACTTTTTTCTTCCCGGATACTCCGCCCAAACCCACGTAACTGTTGACTCAACAGTGTAATATTCGGCCGGCACGCCGCGTCATCGGCGCTCATGCAAGCAGACGTCCGGCCTCTTCCTCTTTCAAGCTTCACAGAAGTATGGCAAAGTAACACAAAAGCCCCACAGGACTTTACTGGAGAACAAACTCAAGACATTATTTAAATCGGGAGACGGAACGTGGAAGAAACTCTTTTGTTTTGAAAGTTTTGTTTAACTTGCAACACTCTGGTGAACAATCCGGAAGCTTGTTTTTCTCTTCAGCGTCGGAGATTTCCAGGGTTTATGCTTCTGTGGCAGACCCTAAACTCGGATCCAGTCGGTTTGTCTGGACTCTGGAGTCTGTTCCGCGCGCGCGCGCGCGTGTGTGTGTGTGTGTGTGTGGGTGGGTTAGTGCCCCTCCTGGTCAGGTGACTGAGGTGTGTCTGATCGCTAGAGCCTGTGGAGATGCTTTGTTCTATTCTACCTGTTGGTTAACTGAAAGATGATCTCCTGCTCAGCGGTCAACTGCGTCCTGTATTGAACTGGGACTCTGCTCGGGGAAACATGATCAAATAACACGAGGCATCTTTTATATCTTTAACAAACAACATCTCCTTTATTTCTATGGAAAAACTTGCTTTTTGGTGCTTAAGTTATCGCTGAGCCGCTTTATTTGACAACACAAAAAAAATCGATTGAATCGCCTGGTGTCACTTTACCATGGAAACGCTTTACCGCGATCGCAAGAGGATTTTTTTCTAGCAGTTAACTGAGAGGAAAAAAAAACTTTACGAAGAATTTATATAGGCTACTTTTCTGGGATTATAGTGGGCCTTAACTTTATAAACTAATACGAACAAATAATAATAATAAGAACTAAGAATCCGCTTTCTATCGACTAATTCGGATTGTGTGCGGAAACGCCATGGCTCTCTCTCAGGTTCAGTGTCTTGATGACAAACATGTGAACTGGCGTCTAAATGAATCCAAACCGGAGTTTTTTTACAGCGAGAATCAGCGGCTCGCGCTTGAAGCGCTTATTACGAAAGGACGCGACGCGTTTGACGCCTATATGAAAGAGCACGAGCTGCGTCCTTTCCTGTCGGAACCCGAACTCGAGCGGTTGCGTCGGAGCATAGAAGATTATAAACCCGGTTCTGAGCATCAAAAACCAGACGGTACAACGGAGGGAGAGGACGGTGCGGTGTCTTTGCAGTACTGGCCGGACCGCTCTGATATCTCCATACCGAATCTAGACCTCGGATGGCCAGACTGCAATTCTTACCGAGGAGTGACGCGCGTCAATGTCTACACGCAACCGCCAATGGACGGACAGACGCATATAAAAGAGGTTGTGAGAAAGGCCATAGCGCAAGCACAGAAGGTGGGTAAACTAGAGGAACTTGAAAAGCACGATTGTAAGGTCAGTCCGCCACAGAAACACCGTTAAAAACGCTCTCAACCTGTTCTTTTGTGTAGGCTATTCTGTGACTTTCAGAGGGTCGATTTTTAAAAAGTAATTTCTGTCAGCAATTGTCGGTGCACAAGATTGCACGCAACCCAGTTTTCTTTTAGCGCAGTAAGCCAAATGTCAACTATCTTAGCCACGAGATATGTATGTGATGTGTAAAAATTAACTAAACTGTTAAATAATGACAGTGTTCACTTATTTTTGCGGTGACGTCCAAAACTGCTGGAAAACGCTGAAGCAGCGATGGGTTGCTGTGGCTACCTGATGTGAAAGCGGTTTCTGCTCGCACACTCTAACTTTTAGTAGTTTCTTGTGTTTATTGAAACGTTGTTTGAAAACATTTTTGAACTTATGTAAAATGAATACAAATATAATGATTAATTACAGTTTCTTCAGAACTGCGTATAAGTACAAATAACTATAGACTTTTTATTTGTCGACCTCAAAAAGTTCTCCTCTGTGTAAAACACTTTTTGGTCAAAAATATGAAACTATTTTAAGTTACTAAAAATAATCATGGTTTGGCTTTTTAATATTTGTCTTTAATAAGCTGAATGTTTGACATTTATAAATTATAATTGTAATGGTTATGAATAGCAATAATCAATGACAGCATCATGGAGATGATTGAGTACTAATGCAAATACTGAATATTAAACTAATAGGTGGATACAGCTCTAACTAAGCAAAACAGCTACTATGCTTATGTATGTCAACACGCACTATTCAACACAACTCTTTTTCTACAAGCTGATTAATTTTTAAAAAGATAACCTGGAAATGTTAGGAATTAATTGAGTTTAGTAGAAAATAGACTAAACATGTTGAATGTCCAAATATTCATCATCACGTTTCACAATCTTACTGGTTTCCAACTGATTCATTTGGCTTGTTAGAACTTGCTAAAGCTTGATCCCAGAAGTTCGGCCAGTAACATACCTGCAGAAATTCTCTTCCTCCCCCTCTCTTTAACACACACACTTACTCACTCAAATACTCAATCAAAGAGATTCCTTTATCCAAAGACATTTCACACAATGAGAGCTTATAACGAGATGTAGGTCTTAATAGGTGCAGTACAACAGATTTACGGTGTGTAGGAGTTGTTTTGTGCTCACAATAGAATTGGAATTGGAATATGACCTGTTGTGTATAGTCATTTGTATACTGAGAAATAATACAAAATCATTTGTGTTTTTGCAGATGATTGCTGTGGTAATGGACGTTTTCACAGACGTTGACATTTTTAAGGATCTAATAGAGGCTGGATTTAAAAAGAAAGTAGCTATATACATTATTATAGATTATGCAGCTTTACAGCACTTCCTACTTATGTGTGAGAGAGCCTACATGCACAGAGGACACCTCAATGTGAGTTGAAGACACATGCATTAATGTCTGTTCTGTATACGTTTTTGAGTTCTTAAAATTAGAAAAGATGTAGTTTGAGTGTGTTTGTGTATGAATAACAATTTGTGTTTGTAGCATCTGCGGGTGAGATGCATCGGTGGTTCCGAATTCTACACACACTCTGCTCAGAAGGTGCATGGCTCGTTGAGTCAGAAATTCATGTTTGTGGATGGAGACCGTGCAGTGTCTGGATCATACAGGTTTGTTTTGTGCACTTTAATGTGTGTATGTATTGTACATATACATAAAGCTGTGTTTCTTAAAGGCAAGTCAGTCTCACTGGACTGTAAATATATATACCGAGTGATATACACTGTGTGCACAATTATTAGGCAAGTTGTATTTTTGAGGATTAATTTAGTTGTTGTACAACTACAGTGCTCTTGGTCAATCCAAAATGTTAACAAACCCTCAAACCTGAACATTTAAGTAGTAAAAGTGAAGTTTTGGCGTTCTTAAGAGAATATCTACATGTACACCGTTATTAGGCAACTATTAGTGTGCAGAATTATTATGCAACTAAATGAAAAGCAAAGATCTCACTTGTTTATTTTCACCTGTTAAAGTGAGAATAATAAACAAACTCAAATTTACAAATAAACATTTCTGAAATTTCAAAAAGAAAACCTCAGTGACCAATATAGCCACCCTTCTTTTCGATAACAGTCACAAGCCTTCCATTCACGGAGTCAGTCAGTTTCTTGATCTGGTCAGAATCAACTTTGTGTGCAGCCGCAACCACAGCCTCCCAGACACTGTTCAGAGAGGTGTACTGTTTACCTTCACTGTAAATTTCCTGCTTAAGAAGGGCCCAAAAGTTCTCAATAGGGTTTAAGTCGGTCAAAATCATCACTTGCCTAATAATTGTGCACACAGTGTAGTTTGAATTGCAAGTTCAACTGGTTGTGGGAAAAATTGTTAATGTTTTTAATAATGAAGAGCATCTCTCAAAAACCATAAACAGAACTCAAAGCAGGAAAGGTCTTAAGTAAACTAGAAACTTCACCAATCTCACCCAAACACCTGATAGAGAACATGGAAATGGATTAAATACGCAATGGCAAATTAGAAGATAAAAATTTACAAGGGAGTAACAAGGTAACAAAACAATCAAACTAGAAGCGGTGTTAAAAAATGACTAGTCAAACAATAATCAAATCACAAGACAGGCCTAATAAACCATATGGCATGAAATGCCAGAATGCAAAAAGAAAAGGGAAGTGTGAACAGACAAAACAAGAACAAGACAGCTAGTGAGTGAGCTATTGTCACACAACTGAAAGAAAAATAGTCATCTCAACAGTATCTCAATACTAAGATATTTTGAGTTGCTAGCTTAAATGTGCATGTTATTTGTTTGTCCACTTTTCTGATTTACGGCATCTTTATGTTTTAGTTTTACATGGACCGCTTCTCGTTTGGACCGCAACATCATTACAGTCCTGACAGGACAGGCCGTTGAAACTTTTGACAAGCAGTTCCGTGAACTATACCTGAACTCTCGTGGGGTCAACCTAACTAAGATCCCATTGGCAGACCCTCCGGAGCCTGACCCTGTCCCAATCGCCGTTCCTTCCCCTGTTCCTGTAACGGTTGCAAGAAAATTAATTAACCCCAAATATGCATTGGTTAATGTAGATGCAGCAAGCAAAGCCTCTTCAGACAAGGCTAGTGCCAAGAACAGTAACTCCAAGAATCCTATGGTCCAGATTCCCAAGCCTCAACGGGAAATGAGGGAAGGACCGCAAAAGCACCCAGGACTTGTAGGTCTGCCAAAGGCAGATCTCATTCCCTACTTGCCCACTTGGCCAGAGCCAGACCCACCCAGTGATGTTATTGGATTTATTAATATCCGTGATACAAGCAAGCCAGCGCAGGTGCATTTAATGCGCTCTCAAATGTTTGAAACATCTCAAGCAATCCGTTTTAAAGACCCTTTCACTGCCCCACCTGAGGAACCGTTACCAGATAAGGCAAGTCCTCGTCCTAAAACAAAAGAATTGTCTAAAACAGCTGCTGTAGATGCAAATGTTCAATCAATCACCCAACCTCAGGCAGAGACTAACTCTAGTAATGCCCATCAAGATATACCGGCCAATACATCCCATTCGCCAAGCCCTCCAATCCAGCAACAAGACCCTAAACCCAGCCCTCCTCCACAAGAGCAGGAGTCCAACCCTGAACCAGCAGAGGTGCAGCAGGCTTCAGAAATGCCTGTGCCCAAGCCACGCACCCTTCAGTTGGTGGTTAATAGACCGGAAGGCTCTGGAGACCCAGAGGTCACTTTAGTCAGAAGGGAGGAAAACCAGACAAAAGATGCAAACACGGACACTCGAGACAACGATGCTGACAGCACCGCTGTGACCTGTGCAAATTCATTAAAGGATAAAGATGAGAATTCCACAATGTCAGATGAATACTATGAATGTACTGACTCCGACAGCAGTGATAAACTCCCTAATGGAAGGTTAACGGGTTCTGGTCGTGTTGGAGACCATAGCCCTGATGCGCTTAACATGATGGCCCGCTTCTCTCAATCCATGCTGGATTTGCGATCGGATGACTTCAAACAAAACACTGCTGAGAAAAATCTACTGAACAAGCAGAACAGAGACAAAACAAAGGTACGTTGGACTTTAATTTAGTGTGACTGAATGTGAAAGTGCTTTTTATCAGATTTGGCTCTTCACTCTACCAGTCCATAAACCTGGGAGTGTCTCAAGTAGATGAAAAGAAGCCAGGCGTGTGTGTTATGGAACGCACAAGGGTGTGCCAGTGTGCGTTCCGGGACTCTTGACATTTCCAGCACGCCTGAACCTGCTAAAAGTGCTAAAACACATGTATGGGGGTAGTGGGTGGGAGAAGGGGAAAATGTAAGTAGTGTATCAGACATGAACTGGAAAATAACAGATCCTAATTTTGGAGGAATTTCCCCATGGGAAAAGTAGTCCACATATGAATGCAACAAAAATGTTTGAGGTAAAGGTGTCAGGAAACTTGGATGCATGATATAAGCTATCAGTCAATATATACAGTCAAACCAAAATTTATTTAGACACCAGATATAATTTTTGATATTTTTTTTTACTAGTGGGTGCAGGATGCTATAGTTCATTTATGTAAGTGAGGATAGCAAAATAAAGTAAACTGTGACATATTATACCCAAAAATTATTCATACAGTGGACTACCAACTATAGTGAATATACTGTGATAATGTGTGAAATGTTGAAGGTGTCTGAATAAATTTTAGTTTGACTGTATATATATATATATATATATATATATATATATATATATTTACATTTAC